TCCTCATCGGCTTCATTTATTATCGTCAGAATATTTTTGAATGGTTCTTTCATATCTAAGATCAAAATTAAGTCGAATGATTTTTGTGTTAATACATCTTTCATAGATTTGAATAAGCTGATTATAATTTTTCTTTTGACGTGTTTTATAGCATAATAATCAATATTAGTATAATATTGTATTGGAAAAAAATGTCTTGAAGACCTTCAGAATTTTCGTAATATTCAAACAAGCATAGTCATCTTTCCTAAAATTTTTAATCACTAATGATATTATTTTTGAAGTTTAATTTTTTAATTCAGCCCTTGCAGACTTGGTTTTGGTTTCAACACTTTGCCAGTGGTTTATAGCAGCATGCCATATTATTTTATTTCAACAAAGTCAACTCTTTTGAAATCATACATGCTGCATCTTTTGATAAAATTTTTTTAGGTTTCGTATTCAATTTAAAAATTTTCATAGATTATACCTCTGTCAATTGTCAGAATAATTGTAAACTGCATAATCATTATGCTCAATTTCTCTAGTGTCATAAACTCTTTGATTTCAGGTGAATTCCATCAATTTGTTTATTTTTAAGTGAACCTATTACTGTCATTTTTATTTGTCACTTTGATGCCTGATATCTTAGGGTCTACGTTTTTCATATATAGATCTATATCTTGATATTTAAAATCATGCATGCACTTTGATGTCAGATATCTTCATAAGTCTTTAATCTTTAATTGCACCAGAAGATGGCTAGAAAGAATTGCATTCATATGTATGTATGTATGTATGTTATGTATGTATGTGTGTATGTATGTATGTGTGTATGTATGTATGTGTGTGTATGTATGTATGTATGTGTGTATTTGTCTGTGTATGTATGCATGTATGTATGTATGTATGTACATATGCATGTATGCATGTATGTATGGATGTATGTTTGCATGTATGTGTGTATGTGTGTATGTGTGTATGTGTGTATGTATGTATGGATGCATGCATGCATGCATGCATACATTCATACATATTTCTATATATGTACATACAACATTCATATATATATACATACATGCATATCTATACATATACATACATATAGAAAGATACACACACACACACACACACACACACACACACACACACACACACACATATATACACATACATACATACGTACATACGTACATACGTATACATACATACGTATATATATTTAGGGAAACCTGTAGGTAATTGTTTTGCTACCAAAAAGAGGTTACGAAATATGGAAAGGGATCCTACTAAAGGAAAACCCAAAATACAACTCAATCAAGCCCTATGGATCCTTTTCAAAAAAACATCCCAACGCTAAAGTAAACTCCAAAATACAAGTATACCAATCAAACCCAAATAAAAAACGAGGAGATTTACATCGTAAATGAGTAAGATTCAAACTATCACCATTAAGCAAAACTTTAAGAGGGAGGGGAGACACCACGTCAAGCACAACATTTTTCAGAAGAAGCTCCTGATTTTGCTAACTACTTGGTTGGTTGGTTTCCTTCTCCAGGAATATAGTTCCAGAGGATGTTAGCGTGTGAGGACAACGCCTTAATCTTCTTTATCCAATGTACTATTCACCAATGTATGTCAAGCTTTCCTTCAAGCATAAGAACAAGGGATAAGGAATCCAATTCCATATGTACCTGCTTCCACTTCACCACCAGGGCTATCTTCAGGGCCATATGCACAACCAACACCTCAGTCTCAAGAGCACTCTTCTTCTAAATGGGAGCTTTGAAGTATAACCGACGAGAACCTATACTATCACCGAAGATGCCTCTAATCTCTGCTATCTCCTTTGTATAACCTCCATTCACGTTGATCTTCATCCAAGGAGCTTTCGGTTTCTTCCTCAACACCACCCGTTGGATATGCAGTACTGTCCTAGGTGTGGCCAAGCAATTCTGTGCCAAAACACCCATACCCGAGTGCAATTTGTTGTTTAGCACTTTGCTTATGTATACCATACAGTTGACAAACACAGCCTTCTCCTGGATGACCTTATTCTTATGTTTACAGCTATTCCTAGCTTTCCAAATGTACCGTACTATTATGTAGAGAATGTATTCTTGCCCCAGATTTTTTCACTCCTCCCTGCATTGCTCCAAGTTTTTCAAGCCGGTCAGTTGATGCTGCAGCTTGAGTTCGCTAATCACCTGCTGTCAGATAGTTTTCACAAATATGCACGTAAAGAAAATTTGTTGCGAACTCTCCTCATCTTTCCTGCATAGTAGACAACATGACAGGAGCCTCAATCCTTTCAGCTTTAATATGTCATCCGTCGGCAACAATTTTTTAAAGAATCTCCAGAAGAAAAAGGACATTGAAGGTGTGATCCAATTGTTCCAAAGATTCTAACCCCAACCCACCTTTGGCTAATTATATAATGTCTCATAGATATATTTAATTATGGAGCAGTAATTAGGATTTTTGGTATTGATTCTATCCTTACTCTTTCAATTGGTACACTAGCAATGCGTTTTGTCATTTTAGGTCCAACAAGATTGTTGACCTTATTATGATTCCAATGATCCTCAGCTAAAGATCAACAATCGGTAGTTTCTCCTTATTGCTATTGGTGCTTGGGTGTTGTAACCGGCCATCTATGAGCTAATTGCCATGCCAAAAACCCACCTATCCTTCCCTACAAAGTATTGCTCTGCTAACTCTCTGACCTTCAGCATGCTGACCCAGGTTTTGGAGTCGCTCATTTTCCTTTGTACCATTGTGGGATGTAATTCTCTACAGTATTTGTTATGCATATATTTTGACCATAAGGAATCTTGCGCTCTAAATTTAATCCACAGTTTGCAAAAATTGATCTGATGTAGGTGTTGAAGGTCCTTGAAGCCCAGTCCACCAGCTAATAATATTGGTTTACCAACTTTTTTTCAATTGATCCAGTGCATTTGCTTTTTCTGTCCCGCCCAAAGAAACTTGTTGAAGATTTTTCAAATAAGCCTCGTGTACTTTTTTTCATTTTCAACATTTGACTGATATAGAGTGGAAAGGAGGTAAGGATGCTCTTCAATAATGTGACCTTACCTCCATTAGATAGGAAAGATGTGGTCCAACAGTTTAGTTGCTTATGTACCCTGTCCAGCACCTCATCAAATTGAGTTTGATTTTTTCTTTCCTTAATAAGTTGTACCCCCAAGTACTTTAGAGGGAGATCAGCTTGCTTAAGCTAGTGTGTTCCCTTAACCACTGCCTGGTGCTATTCTTCACTCTGTTATTGCAAATCAATTGACATTTCTGCTTATTGAATTGCATGCTCTATACCATCTGGAAATCCATTAAAATTTTATGCATTACCTTCACGGCCTGTTTAGTAGCATTGGTGAAAATTATAACATGATCTGCATATGCAAGATGGCTAATATACGTTTTCGACCTATTCCTATATCTCGTGTAGCTGTGCTTACGTTGAGCCTGTATTAACATTCTTGATATGTAATCAAATGCCAAGATGAATATAGTTGGAGATAAGGGGTTATCTTGCTTGATACCCCTCCTAGACTTAAAAAAACCGTGAGTCTGTCCATTTAGAAGAATTGTCTAGTAAATACTTCCTACCTATTTTTCAATCAAATTGCAGAAATTAAGAGGCAATCCTCTGTCTTGCCGCACATCTATAATAAATTTCCAGCTTCTTGTATCATATGCCTTCCTCAGATCAAACTTGATGACCAAATTCCCACCTTTGCAAGGCTTATCAATGTCAGTCAGCAATTCTTAGGCTAAAAGAATGTTATTTGTAATACTCCTGCCTTTAGTAAATGCAGCTTCATTTGGGGCGATAAGGACAAGTAAATAAGGTTGTAACCTGGTAACAATTACTTTGCTAATCACTTTGGGGATGACATTAGTGGGGCAGATTCGTCTGAGTTGGTCCCATTTATCCTTGGCTTCACCTTTGGGGATTAAGGTAATGGTTGTTGTAGTAAAATATTTGGGGGGTTCTACCCTTAAAAAGGAGCTCTGTACTGCTAGAACTACCTCCTTTTTCACAATTCCTCACATCTTTTTATAGAAATCTGCAGTGTAGCCATCTCGGCCGGTTGCTTTGCCATTGGCAATGGAGTTAAGAGCTATCTAAATCTCATCCTCAGTAGGTCGTTGGGTGATGTTGAGGTCTTTGGTTATAGCTATGTTGTCAGCCAACAAATCTGGATCAATCAAATGCACGGGTACGGGCGGTTGATTTATCAGTGTTTGAAAGTATTGTACAACATTGGTGGCAATGTCCTTCGGATGGGTTATGCACTCATCATTCTCAATTTTAATTCTTAAAATCGCTTTGAGTCTTCTGCGATGCTTTATACATGCATGGTATTATTAAGTATTCCTATCCCCTTCTGTGAAATGTAGATTGTAATTTTTTGTTTCAGAAACATCTCCTAGTCCAAAGCTTCCTGCAGTTTGAAATTTGCTTTGGTTAGTTCCTCGGCAGTAGAGCAGTCCATCAAAATAGCTTCCTCGAGCTCACCTTCTCAGCCGGTGCAATTTGGAAATTCAAGTTGCCAAATTCCACCCAGTTCCATCTTTTAAACATTCTAGCTGTTATTTTCTGTAGATTCCATAAGTTCCGCCAATGATTCCCTTTGTTTTCCGAGGACCATGCTGTCCTAATCATCTCCTCAAACTTAAAGTCGGGCAACTTCCATTGCTCTCCGATCCTAAGCTTTTTTTATTCCTTTGTCCGGGTTATTGACCTTAAAATTTAATCTATTTGTTGTCCTAATGGCAGAATCCTTTCCAATGACGAATTAGCTAAAAACATGAGTAAAATTAAGGTTAGTAGATGCAGTCAGTAACCTTGAACCAGCAACATAGGTTGCGAACTCAGCTCCGCCATTATTAACACTTATTCATTTTCTGTTTATTTCTGATCACTTGCAATGCCAATTGTAGTTGCACTTATTCATTTTCTTGGTGGGGCAATGATTTTATTTTTTTTACATGCGTAGAAAATCAACCTGGATGCCACATGGGAATTTCATGGGGTGACTTGCCTCCATCTCTGAGACCTCCTCCTGATGGCGGTTATCCTCCTCTTCCTTCTGTCGGCTGGGGATAACTCATACTCAGAACTCCATTTTTGTATCAAATTTCCCCTACATATTTCCTCCTTTGTTTCACAGGAAAGCATATCACGCTTCGCAAAAATCCTAGCTTATGCGGGTATTTTGTTACTGTTCAATGATTGATTTGCAATGTTTATTTTGTTACTGTTCAATGATTGATTTGCAATGTTTAAGCATGGTTTGTATGCGGAAATTATTTGCCTAATTGACCCAACTGCAAAAATAAATTGGAATTGTTCACATAACTGTCGAGTACACTGTTTATATAAAAATCAGTGTTGTGCACAAACGTTTCAATTTGTATCCATCTATGTTCACGATTTTTGCGTTTTAGTTTTAACGATTTTTGCGTTTTTGTTAAAAAGACGCACACAGTTAGATTGAAGATAGCAGCTTAAAGCCGTGCCCGCTGGTAGAAGATGCACTTTTGAAGGATTTTTCACGTATATAACTATATCAGTAGTATAATTGCAAACAAAAGATTTTAAATTTATTTCTGTTAATTTATAATTATTAGAGAATCCCTTCAATTTTTTATTATAGGTAATTTTAATGATGTTCATATATATTTATATT